TGTGCCCATATGTGTTATAACATTATAACATATGTTATAATATATTACTATATTATATTATATATATTACTATATTATATTATATTACTATGTAATATTATAACATATGTTATAACATATAACATATGTTAAATAATATAACATATGTTATAACATTATATTATATGTTATGTTATATAACATATAATAACATATATTATATTATATTATATGTATATAATAAGCATATAGTATATAATATATTGAATTAATAAATGTATGTATATAATTTGCGCAGAAATAAACGCAAGGTGCCTGGCGACACAATGGTACGAGGTGCGCCCAGAGAAACCGGACTCACCCACAGACCCGAGTTCGAGTCCCCAATCTGGGATCATCATATCTTTTTTTTTAGAAACCGTATTTCAGGAATACGGTTTACAATTAAATCAATTTATAAAAAAAAATCTGGAACAGAGAGCAAACAAAACAAACAGAGAGGTTTTTACCTATTACACCAAAATTGTTACAACTTGTTACACAATTTCAGAACAACCAGCTAAAAAGAAAAAAAAACACAAACAAAGAAACTCATATACAATCCAAGATAACAAAAATATATAATTCAAACATAGTCCAACAAATCAAAGTAAATAATAAAAAAAAATAGTCCCACATAAAAAAAAAATACACACTAACAAATCTAGTTTCCCCACTCATCACGGCGTCTAGATCTATCAGTGCGAGGATGTGAGGACGGACATTCATTCACAAAATGCTCTGTATCAGCATATCTACTACACTGTCCTCTATCATTCTGGCGGCGTGCCAGACGATCCATTTGCATGCGATGACGCCTCATTTGCGCACGACCCGGTCCAGCCTTCGTGATCATCCTCTCCCAATGTGGTAGTAAGGTCCATCCGACCAGCGGCCATGTGTCTGGATCACCAATCGGAACAAAAATCCAATTAGAAAATTGAGCTACCGAGTTCTCCGTCCAAAAGCAGGGATCGTACAATAACTTCGGTGGAGTATTATGTTGTCGACACACAACTATAGCATGAGAGCATGGTTTCCTATGTGTCTGCCACTTCAGACAACGACAACGTCTCTCGTCGTACCAAACCTTACACCTGTTTTTCCACACATTTAATTATATTTATAAACAACTAAAAATTTTAATGAACCAAAATAAAAAATATACAATAAATAAATAAACCACATACGTTTTGTCCCCTCTACCACTCGCCCGTCGACCCGTTGTCACCTCGTACAGAGATCTCGCCGCGTTCGCACATCTCACCTTATGATTTGCGGCCGTACTCTCCAATTTGCATAAAGCGGCATAGTGGGCACTAGCAATGACATTACTGCATCTCGTGGACTTCTTTTGTTCCTGCTCAAACAAGTCCATAGTTTTCATGAATGTGGCGCGTACCAAAGCTCGACAGGGCAAGAACCTAACACCTTTCAGGACGTTGTTGTGACTCTCGGACATATTGGTCGTCAATGTACCCCATCTACGTCATCCCTCGTCTCCAAGCAGGGTCCACTTGTTCAGAGGAATTCCAAACATGTAATTTTATGCATCGGGATTAAAATCCGAAAGCCGCTCTCGTATCTGTTGAAATTTTGCTCTGAAAGCTGTGAACCCAACTCCCGACACCAATTTCGGATTTTGCTATTCCTGTACCTAGTAACCACGTTTCTCCGAAGGTATCGAAGACAAATCCGGTGATATGCAGCGGGTTCTTGCCAAGCCGCCAATGAATCCACTGCACTCTGTAAGCCAGCATCCCTGTTCGAAAGAAAGCATATATGTCTTTCGCCGACAACATGTTGCCGGAGATTTGTCAGGAAAAATGACCAGCTTTCCCTGCTCTCTTCATCCACAATCGTATATGCGATTGGCAACAACCGCTTATTCGCAGTCTGTGTAACGGCCACAAGCAACTTCCCCTTGTACGAGCCACGCAAATGCGTGCCGTCCATGCTAATTACCGGCGGGCATCTCTGGAAGGTCTGAATGGCGGGACCAAAAGCCCAAAAAACAAATTTGAATTCTCTGTGCTCATAGTGGGCCGCCATTTCCTCACCCTACCATTCCCACTGTACAACTGTAGTGGGATTCGCTCTTTGAAGCGCCGCAAAAAATCTGCACATTATAAAACGTAATTGTTAATACATAAGCACAGTGAGATAAATAATACGTACACTTGTAATAAAAATTTTTTACTGAGGGAGTTGTGCGAAGTTCTCTTCCCAAGTGCCATACAAACTGTCGATGGCTTTTTTCCTCCCGTGCCACGCCTTTTTATAGCTCACATCGACTTTCCAACATTTTTTGACATCCTCCTGGATCAGGGTAACACTGTACTCGGGTTTCTTTTGGATCTTGGTCATGATAAGATTGGAAATCATTGTGGCGGTTACTTGTTGAAGAAACCTCTTTCTTGAAACTTCTGCTTTGTCGACATATTTATGTTTATGTTTTTTTATATTTAAATATTTTGTTTATAGATAAAGAAATTATTAAAGATTTTTTCGTGAAATATAGACAATGCTAAAAAAAAAATGGTTTTCTTGTACTGTTTCTTGTTCAAAAAATTGTTTTTGCTTTGTTTTTCTTTTGACAGATTTTTATTTATGTTTTTTTTTATTGACCATTTTCACGATAAATTTATCAAAATTTCGAGAGCTTTCTTTTTGGTTAGGGAATATTTCCTTGAGCTCTGACCTCTGCCCGTTAACTTGCAAGTTGATTTTCCAACAGGTTTGTAGCTTTTCAAGTGTCTGCTCAAAAAACGAAGGCGAGTTTGTTTTGCCAATGACTAGTGATTGGAACTTTTATCTTCAACCCTCTGCAGACCCTTTGCCGAGTTGTAATTTTTGTTATCACAAACGGGATGTAATCGTGCCAGCAATATGTATCTGTAGGATTTTCTCTTCGTTTTTTTGTTTTTTCATTGAAGTTGGTCTGTGGTTGGAAGAAAGCCTTCACTCTTGTTGTTCGTGATGATGTGATTATTCTTTTTAGGTTACTTAGTTATAATAGGTTGTGCAGATTGGTTGCTTATCTAGTTTTGATTTACTTGGGACCATTGTTTGAACTGTACTGTATCAAGCACACTCTTTTTACTTTGAACCAGTTCATTTTGTTGCACAATCCAATTTACTTGGAGATTTTGGTTGTGTGATACTGATTGTGTTATGTTTTTACCTCAAAGGGTTGATGGCCAACAATGTTGTTTGGCTCTGTTTTAACTAGGAGAGAAATTTTGGAAATTAGGAATATCAGGTGAGTTTTATGCATCTTGGCTAATACAATCATTGTGCTTTATGCACCTGGACTATCTTTCGGTTTTAAGAAACATTTTTTTTTTTTCTTCAAGAAACAAATTCTTATTCAAGAAACGGTTTATTCCTCAAGAAACAATTTTTTTGAACATGAAACTGTTTTTTCATTAAGAAACGATTTTCTTCTTCTTCAAGATTCAATTTTCTTTTTCAAGAAACTGTTTCTTTCTTCAAGTATATTTCTTAAACCCCTTTTATAACAAAATTAGGTTCTACAAATGGTTCCTCAATAATTTCTTGAGCCCCCTTTAGAACAAAAAAGCAGCTACTAAGGTAAGAGCACCAACAACTTAACCATGTAGGGGAAGTGACTAATGAGCGAGGTACCTTAGCTCAAGTTCACTCTTTGGAATTCGATTGATTAGTGAAAACCGACTGCGGTACCAATCAAAAAGACGGTTGTCGCTACTCGCTACCAAGCTGCGCCACATCCCTTCAATTCGATCAGTTCATTTGCTTTCCTTTTTCCCGGCCTCATTGATTTTGTATCCAGAAAATGATTTATTTAACAAATTCAAAAAATAAAGATAAAAGATAACAAAATTAGGTTTATGTACTTTTTTTTTCCAAATGTATTACTTGGTGGTGATGGAGGTTCTTTTTTTTTTTTTTTTTTTTT